ATGACGTTGGCACCTGTGAAACTAGAGTCGTTTTTGTCTTGGTCACTGTCTTCATCTACAGTGCCTGGCCCATCACTCCCTCCCAAAGTAACAAGTTCTACGGCCTCCCTGACACACTAACCAAGATTTCTCTTCTTCAAGGTCTGTTGTAGAAGCTCTGTTCTTCCCTTGTTTTTCTGTAATGGAGCTGCTCATAAAGAAATTCTCTGATGTGCCCTTGTCTGATAGCAGGTCATAGGAATGTCCTCATACCACAGGGTCCTGCCCCATACCCTGGCAAGAACAATCCTGCCCCACAATCCCTCCAAGAACAGAACTAGCAGAGCTGAACACGCAGAAGCTCCAGGAAGGTGAGTACCTAGAGGGTGTGGACGCTCTGTGCCTCTTCCCCCAAGACGCGAGCTACCCATCTCCTCACCTTTGTAACGTATCTTATAATAAACTAGAAACATAAGTATTCTCCTGAGTTTCATAAGGCACTTAATCAAATAGAATCTAAGAAGGGGATCGTGGGAACCCTGATTTACAACCAGATGGCCAAAAGCACAGGCAACACAACCTGTGGTATGAGACTGGCATCTAAAGTGAGAAGAGCGGGGGTATGCTCAGGGCTCCAGCTCACCACCTGTAGAACTGACACTGTCTCCATATAGATAAAGTCACATATAAATTGGACTAGGAAGCACCCAGCTGTGTCTGCTGCAGAACTGCTTGCTTTCAAGTTTGGAAAGTGACCGGAAGTGACAAGCAAACAGGCCTGCATGTCAACTTAGGATGGCCACCCGGGTCCATGAAACGAAGGAACATGGGCTTCACCAACGCAGAGATGGCGGAATCTAGACATGCTCCTCTGGCACCCTCAGAGGCACGTAATGCCAAAAAGACCTAGTGCTGGCAGGTTGAGACTGCCAGCGGCGGTGTGGCAGATTCCCTGAACAGGGTTGGCAAGGGAGAATGATGTTGGTAGCTCTCAGGGGCTACAAATGGATCCTGAAGAGAATAAACACTGATTCTGGACTGTGCTTTGACTGCCCATTGGGACAGACAAATGCTCAAAGTGCTAGAGAAAACTAGAAAAAGAGACAGTGTATGAATTTGGCGGGCTGAAGATCATTTGTTCAGAACAACGCACACACTGTGCAGACCACCCTCTCACAGCAGACAGGGACATCGCCTCGGAGTAACAGGTACCCAGGTGGGATAGCCAGCTGCTTGCCTCAAATGGGGGAGATGTGCGCCTGCAGGGCTGGTTTCCAGCCTCCGTGAGTGTGTGCTCACACTCAACACAACTAGGACTACGCGAGTGTCCTCACTACTAGATTTCACTTTGTATTTCTAGTAGATCTGTGGAGAGGGGATGACCACGCAGTTCTTGCTGAGAAGAATACACTGGTATAACAACTTTCTTTCCCCCTTCATGTCCTCAATTTCCCCATCCTCCCACCTGATGGAGTGGTCAAAGGATCAGGGCTACAACTTCAAGTGTTGGAGGCAGGGATGAGTCCTAAGCAAGAAACAGTTATGATACCTTTAAGTGAAATCTGTGAGAATTCCCAAAGGCACGATGGGGTAGAACGCACGGTGCCTTCGCTCTATTTGACAAAGTTAGGGACAATGGTCAGTGTTGTCATACTGCCTACTGATCAGGGTAGCCCACAGCCTGTGCATCTATGTAATTCTACACTATCTATACTTTAAAAGAGGCTCAGAATAAGAGATGACCTTGCCTCTTAGCTCTGTGTGCTAGATGCCTGAAAGGGTGAAGCTGTATGTTTGCCAAGACCATGCTTACTTTTAGAACTCAACAAGACTGAATGGGAACCTAAAAATCTGAGTAACCTCATCCTGGGAGACATGGCCAAAAAAAATGTGATGATAACTGGACTTATTATTAACGACTGGATGAAATTCTAGTGATAAGGCAGTACATTTAGACTTAAATATCTCTTTGATGTAAAACATACATGTATAAAAACCCGGGGTGATGAAAAGACTTTCTTATCCCAATTTGATTATGTTGCTGCCTTTGTCAAAAAGACAACTGATAGCTGGGCGTGGTGGTACACACCTGTAATTCCAGCACTCAGGACGCTGAGGCAGAAGGATCACCACCAGTGTGAGGCCAGCCTGGGCTACATGGTGAGCTCAGGGCCAGCCTGAACTGCATAGCAAGATCCTGTTTCAAAAAAAATCAAAAAGCCCCAACAACAAAAAAAGTCAACTGATAAACTGATGAGTGGATAAGGCAAAGGTGGTAAATACATAAATGGAACATTAACCAGTCTTAAAAAAGAAAGGAACCCTATCCACAGGTATATTATAGATAAACCCTAAGGACACTAAATAAAACAGGCACAAAAAAGGAAAATAGTGTATGATTCTACTTACATGAATTATTTAAAGTAACCATATTCAGAAAAACAGCATAATGGGAAGTAATTATTTAATGGATACTGTTTCAGTTTTGCAAGATGAAAAAATTCTGGAAATCTGTTTTACAACAATGTGAATACACTTAACACTACTGAAATATATACCTGAAAACAGTTAAGAAGGGAAGTTTTATGTTATATGTATTTTTGCCAGAATTTTAAAAAATCAACTAACCGTATATGTGTGGAACTATTTCTGGACTCTGCTGTTTCAATAATTTCTTTGCCCATCCTTTTGCAGCTGTTACAACATCTTAATTACTATCACTTTATAGTAAGGCCTCAAATCCAATAGTTTATGCTCTCCAACTTTTTATAGCAAATCTAATTCCTTTACATATCCATATAAATTTTGCAATCAGTTTACCAATTTAAGACAAAACAAAATAAAAGACCTACTAAGATTCTGGTTGTGGCTACACACAGTTATGAATCAGGCTGGGAAAAAACTGACACTGTAGTAATTTCAAGTCTCTTAATTTCCTTTTTGTTCGATTTTTGTGACAGGGTCTCACTATTCAGTTTAGGCTGGCCTCAAACTTGTGGTGATCCTCTTGCCTCAGCCTCCTGAGTGCTGGGATTAGAGGATACTGGTATGCCATCATACCTGGATTCAAGTCTCCTAATTTCTAAACAAAGTTTATTTCTCTTTTTATTTAGGTCTTTAATGTCTCTTGGCACTGTTTTGTGTTTTTTGTGTAGCAGTCTTGTTTACCTTTGACTAATTGCTAGATATACTATGTTTGTATTGCTGTTAAAAGTATTTCTCTTTTTTCCTTTCTTTCTTTCTTTTTTTCCTTCAGTTTTTTGAGGCAGGGCTTCTGCCTTTGCCAAAAAGTCAACTGATAGCCAGGCGAGGCGATGCATGCCTATAATCCTAGCACTCAGGAGGCTGAGGCAGAAGGACTGCCACAAGTTCAAGGCCAGCCACGTCGTGGTGATCCTCTTGCCTCAGCCTCTGAAATGCTGGGATCACAGGTACGGGCCACCACACTTGGCTAATTTTTCCATTTTTTGTTGCTGTATACAGAAATAAAACTGATGTTGATATACTGACCTCACATCCCGTGACTGCTGAATTTGCTTACTGATTTGGAAAGATGGGGTGGCTTCCTTAGGACTTTCGATGTGCATAACCAAGTGATCTATGCATGTATCATTTCAAACCATTTCAATTGTGTAGATTATATAGCCCATCTCTACCTAGGGTACTTTAGACATGTACAACTTGATTTATTTAAGTATTTAATCTTCAGTTTTCTGTTATTCATGACTAGAATAGGAAAGAGCTCCTGATCATTCAAATTCCCTAGTGTTTAAATTATCTAGAGGTAAAAAAAGAGACTGACGTAAAAGGTAGAATAAGTTCACCAATCTTTAGCTAATGGTAACTTCTATCATTAGTAGGATTTTCCACATCATAATCAATTCTTGATTAAAGATTAGGCAATAAATACGTACAGATTTAAAATATTGTCATGAGACTGGATGGAAGATGTATTATAACCTGTTGTGACTGGGTACATGAAACCAGAGATTTGGGCTGGTGATACAGCTCAGCGCCACAGTGCCTGCATGGCAAGCGTGAGGTCACGAGTTTGATTCCCAGTACAAAAACAAACAAACAAACAAACAGAGATTTAACTTCTATACAATTTCAGGAGTTATTATCATTGGGGAAGATTTCTAAATTTTGACCTGTAATATAATTTCAAACCTCAAAACAAAGGCATCTTATTATAACTTAAAAATTCTAAAACTTTGACAATTCTCTGTACTCACTCAAACATTCTATCATTATATAAAATATTCAGCCAAACCCTATCTCCAAGGAGAAGTGCAGAGCTGCAAGGATTAGAGCTACTATCTGGTGATCACTGCTGCAGTACACAGCGTTTGGTGGTGGAAGGAAAAACTCCTACCCACCTGGTTCCAGAATGCAGTACTGAGTCAGGATAAAGGAAAAACTGAGTTTCAATTTGGTTTGGTTTTCTCTGTCATTTCTGTCACCTGACATTAGAAAATATATATAAAATTTAATTTTAAGGCAAAGGTATGTGGTGGCTACAAGGTCTTTGAGGTTGACTTCCCTGTCACAAAAATACTTCTGCCACTATCACAGCTCAAACTTTTGATCTGCAGCCACTGGTTAGTCAGATTCTCAGACTGTAATCCTTAAGAAAAAAAATGAGAGGGTACCCTCACTTACTTATAAAAGCCAGGTAGGGGAACTGATACTCTGATCACCTGAATAAAGATCAATCTAGGTCAAAACAATTTATTATATTTCATTCATGAGAATGAATGATTGTTTTTAAACATCTTCATCTTTAAGAGTGATTCTCTCAAAATAATCTTGGGTAGAGGGAAGCTAAGTAAAGAGGAGAGGGAACAGGTAAAAATACCAGCCACGGAATGACTGTCAAAGCCTGGTGTTGCTCTATTACATTATTCTCTACTTTCGGAACCATGCTTGAGAAAAAATTTCAAAGCATTTCATTTACAATTTCTAATGTTCTAAGCATTATTGAAAATTTAGCATGTAACATCAAAATCTAGGTGACTCACCGGACATTTTCTGGTCTGAGTTTATCAAGAACCATCTCTATTAAGTCAGGTCTAAATTCTTCCAGTAAATATTCAGCTGTGAGTACTTCTTCTAAGGGATAATACTTTGAAAAAGGAAAATATAAATAAATAAAATTTGCAAGGTTACAATAGAGTACAGAGTTTAACTTACTAAAGCAAACAGGTCTCTAACATATTGAATCCATTATTTTATACCCCCTCATCTTTCTATTAAATTTTGCTCCACTGGAAAAAATTCTATACCCCTGAATTTTCTCTTTCCTACTACTTTATTTTCTTTCTCTTTTTTCTTGCCATGCTGGGGACTAAATCAAGGGCCTTCCATATGCCAGCCAAATACTCTACCACTGAGCTACACCTGAAACTCTACCTAACACATCTTTAACTGGTTTAGTACTGTGCAGTGATTCTGCCAGACACACTGTCAATCTCCAAGTATACTTGTATTACAAAGAGCAAAATCATATTTCGATGGAGGGAAAATGTGAGTTAATAGCTCTGGCTAAAAATTTGAGTATAGGGCCAGGCATGGTGTAATCCTAGCACTCAGGAGGCTGAGGCAGGATGACTGCTGTGAGATCAAAGCCAGCCTGGGCTACATAGTGAATCCAAGGCTAACCTGAACTACAAAGTGAGACCCTGTCTCAAAAAAAAAAAAAAAAAAACTGAGTATGGGAAAAAATTAGAAATTTTAAAAATTTAGTTTGAGGAGAGAAAAATAAAATAGTAAAGATACGTTATGTACATGTACCAACTCCCCATGATGAATGTGATTATGTAATTATTATGTATGTACTGCAAAATATAATAACAAGAAAATTGAATTTAAAAAGAAAAAAAAAACCCTGAATACTTTTAATGAAAAAAATGTGATAATAAAATGTTGATACTAGATTTTTTTTCTTTTTTTTGAGACAAGGTCTCATTACGTAGTTCAGACTAGCTTTGAACTCACTATGTAGCCCAGGCTGGCCTTGAACTCACAGTGATCCTCCTGCCTCTGCCTCCCAAGTGCTGGGAGTATACCCATGTGCCACCATGGCCAGCTTGACATCAGATTTTTAATGTAAGACACATGCATTTTTATAAACAGAATTTCCTCTCAAATTCCTATGAATGAAATCACAAAAGCATTCAGAATGCTGTGGGAAGAAATGGATTATATTTTGTCTCATCTGCCAAAATAATGTAGAGAAGGTTTTTTAGTAAAAAGCAATTTCCAATATGCCTAGACAGATTGATTCATTCATTCAATAAAACCTGAATGAATACCTAGCATGTGCCAACCACACTTCTAGGACTGTGGAAACATTGATCAATGCTTCCAAGAAGCAGTTATTATAATTGAGATGGAGGGAGACAATAATGGAACAAATGCTGTAATTTTAATTAAATAAACAGAAACAACAACAAAAAAAGGGGAGGGGCAGGAGCATTATTCTAAGAAGTCCTTTCTAAGGAGATATCCGAGAGGAGTTTCAAATGATGAGGAGAACCCAGCCATGCAAAGATCAGACAGAAGAATGTTCCATGTAGAGAAAAGAGCAAATGTAAAGGCCCTGAAAGTGAAGAATAGGTTTAATGCTTGAAAATTAGACCGAAGCCAGGCTGGGTGGAACGTGAGGAGAGCAGTGGGGTGGAGTGGAGTGCGGAATGCGGCCACAACAGGAGGCTGCCACCGGCTTATTTTGTAGGCCAAGGACAATTTTGGAATTTATGCAATTCTGATGGAAAACCACGCATGACTTTAAAGAGAAGAGTGGAACAATCTGATTTTAGTTTTCAAAAGCTAACTAAAGCTGAAAAAATGAAAGTCCAGTGGGGGACAAGATGGAAAACAAGGGTCCAGGTAAGACTGTAACGGTAGTCTAAGTAAGAAATGATGCTCAGACCAGGATGATAACAAAAGAAATGGAGAAAAGTAACTGATCTAGGCTTTAATTTCACAAAGGTAGCATCTGACGTTTTGTAGAACTGAAAATATTTTAAGGTCATAAGGAAAAGGTCTAATAATGAAAATATTACAGATGATACTTTCTAGGTTGAGGAAAACTAAGATTTTACATATATCTTGTCCTCAAAGTTTGCCCAATTACTATAGTCTGAAGTACCCTACAGCATCAAATTTTATCATTCGTGTGGTACAGAAAGTAGCATATGTACAGTATGAGACATTCTCTACACTAATGTGTAGGAAACAGTAAAATAACCACAAACTTACATGCAGCATCCCTGCAATCTTAGATGTATAGCCCCGGGGTCTCTCTTTATCTTTAAACCTAAAAGCAACTGCATTCAAGTCCTAAAATTGAAAATTAATACAATTAGATGTGAGTTTATTATTTAAAAATACATTCTTACAGTGTTTTTAGTCCATATTCAACTTTATCATACTTTCTGAAAAAATGGCTATGCTTGATTTAGAAATGTACAAAACATGAAAAGAAAACTTCTTAATGTCTATAAAATTCAACCCATCAATCTCTTAAAGTCAAAATAAAATAGGTAAATAGCTTTGAATGAAAATAAATAACAAATACAGAATATGAGTCTACTGGCTGAGTTGTTGAAACTATTAGTCAACAAATTAAATTTAAAAAGTAGTGTGAAAGACTTGTGAGATCCAACAATTCATTTGACGACCCATTCAAAGAATTGCAGCAAAATAATCACAAGCAGAGACTCTATCTCTAAACTCTGCCTGTTTAGAGGATGTTTCTCAACCTCAAATACATTTCAGAATCTTGATAGCCGTATGTTTAAAGTACATATTTTTAAAAACTCATTGAAAAGAAGCCTTTACAAGCTGAGTGCGGTGTGCACTCCTGTAATCCCAGCACTAGGGAGGCTGAGGCAAGATCACTGCAAGTTCAAGATCAGCCAGGGCTACAAAATGGGCTGAAGGCCAACCTGAACTGCATAGTGAGATCCTGTCTCAAAAGGAGAGAAAGAAGGAAAGAGAGAAAGAAAGAAAGAAAGAAAGAAAAAAAGAAAGAGAGAAAAGGAAGTCTTTATGAACACTGTTTGCTATATGAAAGGAAAAAAAACAGTGCAGCTATAAAGTCACTTTTAGGAACAAACCATTCATTATTTGTTTGTAAGTTTACTACAGATTTTCATGACCAGATCTGAAGACGACAGATTTCATGCAGCTTCAGGCAGGGAGTAACAGAAGTAAAAATATCAACTTAACAAACCACTGTTTTTCTTCTATGGAATAGGAAAGCAATCTACTTTCTTTCCTTTTTCCTACTAAAAAAAGGCAACATTATACCTTAACCCTTACTTATGCCCCAAGCAGCAAATCAGGCTAGTACAACTAAGCCTTAACTAATACCATGCTGCTCTGCAAAATTTTATACTTTAATTAGGAAAAATAAAAATAAAAACAGACCTTTGAAAGTTTAACTGGGCCTTAAATTTAAATCATTTCACATATATTTGTTTTCGAAAAATAGATTCCTTAAGAAAAATTTTGGTGAAACAAAAGTACCTTGCACTCTTGGAAAACCCATTCTTGAGGTCCTTCTGCACGTAACTTCTGAATGTATTGAAACATGTGCAAAATTATATCTTCAACATGTACTGGAAAAAAGGGGCACACTTAAAAAGCATTCAGTCCTCCAATCCTTCAAAGCAGTGAGCTAAGGCAAACTCAGACAAGTGGAAGATGGTCTCTCTTAGAAAATGGAGTCCCCACCTCCTTGAGACTGGTTTCATGTGTCCCACACATGGCCATATGGGCCCAGGACATGTGACTGACAGGGTACTGGAGCAATAAATGAGCAAATGAAAAGCTAGGCACACATTTTATAGGCACAACATAAAGATCAGCTGTTAAACTGGACAGTCATCCACAAAACAAAAGCCAAATTACATATGAAAACTACAACGGATTAATTGTAGAAATTAAAGGGTTTACAACCTTTAATCTCAGTACTCTGGTAGGCAAAGGCAGAAACACTGCAAATTCAAGCCCAGTCTGGGCAAGACAGTAACTTGGTGAAACCCTGTCTCATAATAAAAGAGGAAAGAAAGGGCTGGGAATGTAGCTCAATGTAAAAGCCCTGGGTTCAATGCCCATTACTGTAAAAAAAATAAAGTGTTTGCTGGGCATGGTGGCACATGTCTATAATTCCAGCACTCGTGAGGCTGAGGCAGGAGGATTGCTGTGAGTTCCAGGCCTGCCTTGACCTGCATAGTAAGTTCAAGGCCAGCCGGAACTGCATAGCAAAACCCTGTCTCAAAAAGATCCAGTAAATAAATAAATAAATAAAAATTTTTTGTAAAATAAAAAAAATTTGAAAAAAGTAAAATAAAATGTGTTTATAACATGTCAACATGAAATAGGTCTACAGTATAAATAAACTTTTAAAAATCACAAAAACGTCAATTTTCATTCAAAAGCAAAACAGTTATTCAATACTTACGTAATCCTTCCTCAGTTAAATCCACATTAATGATAAAAAACATAAAACCTCTGGCTCCTTCTTTCTGTCCACCAACCAGGGTATTCACCCAACCTGCAACATTCAAAGAAAATCAACACGACTGCATGTGTGGCTTCCTTGACAACATAGAAATTACAAATTCATACTAATTCTGGGCAAAGTGGTGGTGCACACGGATGATCCCAGCACTCAGGAGGCTGAGGCACGAGAACTGCTGCAAGTTTGAGGTGAGCCGTGTCACATAGTGAGTTCAAGGCCATCCTGGACTACACAGTGAGACCTTGTCTCAAAAAAAAAGAAAAACACAAAAAAGAAAAGTCATACTATCTGTTCCAGATTAGAGTGGAATACTTGCAGGAGGGAAAAAGAAATCAGTTCAGAAAAGTAGTTTCAGACAAAGAATTTTATGGGAGGGAAGCTTTCCTAAGGACTTCAAATCAACTCCCAATCAAGGGGAGATTAGCATACTGAAGTGTTATGGAAAAACAAAGAGTATGAGTCAGAAGGGACTTTGGAAACCAGCCACTGTTTGATCATGCACCCTTCCCCTCTGACCCGATGTACAGGAGAAGGCAAATAGTAACATGTACTGAATTTAGCAGACAGTGAACAATAATAAATGTGGCTTTTATTGTTTTATCTCCTCATTTAAAACATGGCTGGGAATAGCTCAGTGGCAGAACACTTGCCCAGCACGCACAAAGCCCTAGGTTTGATCCCCAGCACCATAAAACTAGAACAAAAACAGAAAAATTCATATGATGGTATCTTCTGTAATATCTAAACTTCACTGCTCAATACTGAAGAGGCAGTGGTTTTGCTTGCCTATAATCTCAGCACACAGGAGGCTGAGGCAAGAGAATTGCTGTGAGTTTGAGGCCAGCCTGAACTACAAAGCAGAAGATCCTGTCTCAAAAAGTTAAAACAAACACTGAAGAACAAAAATCATTAAAAAAAAGTCAGTCATGGTAGCACACCCCTATAATCCCAGCTATTCAAGAAGCAAGTCGAGTCCAAGTTTAAGACCAGTCTGGGCAATTTAGCAAGACCATGTCTCAAAATAAAATATAAGAGCACTGGGGCTATTATTCACCGCAAACACACACTATTAAATGAAGAAGGAAAAAGAAAAAGGGCTTCGATCATAGCTCAGAGGGAAAATGCCTGTACTTACCTACCATGCACAAGGCCTTGGGTTTGCTCTCCACCAACACACATGCGCGCAAGCGCGCACACACACACGCGCGCACATGGGCAGCACAATCTAAAATTCACCCTCTCGATTCACTAACCCTAAACAGTCTCATCTAAAAACGTCACAGGGGCCAGGGAGATAGCTCAGCAGCACAGCGCCTGCCTGGCAAACGCAAGGTCCTGGTAATTTGATTCTTGGTAATTAATTAATTAATTTTTTAAAAATGTCACAGGAAAATATCTAGGAAAAAATGAGATCCAGAATCAAAGATGTGGCAGTGTACAACATTCAGAAGATGCTGCCCCAAACACTTACCTTTTGATTTGAGTTCTGATAACAGACTTCCAGGACCTTCATGCCCAATCAGATGACCAAGATAATGACCAGGATTTGACTTGTAGTACTTTTGCAGATCAGGTATAGGAAATGTCACATAAAGATTCCTAATATCCTTAATGGGTACTACTTTATAAAGTTGCTGGGGGAAAAAATAATAATGAAAGAGTCACTAAATAGAATTCCTGCTGAAAAACTATGAAGAATATGGATTTTCATGCAAGAATCTCAAGTTGAGGGTAAATCAATTGCCAGGCACACAAAACAACCCATAAAAAAATAAATGAATCAGACTATCTTGCTGTGAATTTCATTATAGTGGGTAAACTGTCCATGTTTTATCCCCTAGTCTCTGAACTATATAGTTTTAGAACTATATAGTGCCCTCTGGCACTGGATAATAGCTTCCAAAAATCTTCCAAAGCTATAGCTACCAAAACCATTTGTAGCATGAAGATCAGAACATGCTAATATTATTTAATGATACATGTTCCTCATATGTAAACACAAAATTGATTTGGTTATACTGACAAATGTTAAAAAGTATGTAAGTAATAATACCTCCCCAAATTTTCGTATGTCATGTCCATATATTTAAAAAAAAAAAAAAAACATAAATACATGCACTTACTTTAAGATGCTCTTCTTGAAATGGGTGTTCAGGAAATTCTGGCAATGGGACATTTTTATTCTCTACTTCAGAAAATAACTTTACTACCAGATTAGTTAAGTCATCTAAAGACTCTACAAGAAAACAGACAATGAAAACTTAAGAACAGGTAGTACTGAAGACCTGAGGCTCTCCGAAAAAGTCTCAGGGCTTTTAAAAAGAAAAACATGGACTTTAAGCGAAAGCTGCGCCTGACAAAGATGAATCAATTAAATCCTACCATTGCTTATATAACTTGTAAAACTGCTAAGCAGTACCAATGATTATGCTTCATACGTATTTATTTCTGTATATTGTAAAAATTTAAACATGCAGATATTCATAATATTAATGTTTTCCAAATCTTATCTCATAATAAACTTAAAATAAACATTAGAAACAATAACAGAGCATTATGTCATATTTGGAAAAATGATTTATCTCTAATGCCAACAGGCACATACTAAAATATAAGTAGAAGCCAGGCGAGGGGGTGCATGCATGTAATCCCAGCACTTGAGAGGCTGAGGAAGGAGGATTGTTGCGAGTTCAAGACCAGCCTGGGCTACAAAGTGAGCTCAAGGCCAGCCTGAACTGCATAGTGAGACCCTGTCTCAAAAAGACCATAAAAAAAAAAAAAAAAAAAGTCAGGTATGATTTTGCAGAAAAATAGTATAAAATTGTGAAAAGAATCCTAAGTGTATGTCCATGGCAGGAGGAGAGATTCAGAGACTTAGAATCTAATCCCAGCTTCACCAACTATGACAATTAACTACTCAAACTGCCTAATGACTCCGGGTTTTATAAAACAAAAACTTGGGTAAGACAATCACAAAGTTCTTCCAAGAGCTAACATTTTATATTTCTGTATCATAATATGTCACAATTAATTAATTAATTATATTTAGACAGGGTCTTGCTATGTAGTTCATTTGTTTGGGTTTTTTTTGGGTTTTTTGTTTGTTTGTTTGTTTTTTTCCTCCGGTACCGGGAATCGAACTCAGGACCTTGCGCTTGCCAGCAGGCGCTGTGCCGCTGAGCTAAATCCCCAGCCCCCTTGTTATGTAGTTCAGGCCACCCTTGAACTTACTATGTAATCCAGGCTGGCCCCCAACTCATGGTGATTTTCCTGCCTCAGCCTAACGAGAGCTGGGATTACAAGCATGCGCCACCACACTTAGCCTTATAACAGGTTTTATTTGCAACAGTGTGCAAAACTATAGACAGAATATAAAACAAATAGATTTAGGACTGAAAAAGGGGGGCTGTCAACAAAGGTTTCTGGACTAAAATACTAATAACAGGGATGCCTTTAGAACAAAGTTCTCCCTCTTGAGTATTCCTACTCAAGGGAGCTTCTAAACTTAATGTACCAATACTGCACAGTGTGATCTCCCCACAAAACTGTGAGTTACCAACTATTATCACTGAATTCCATTCATTTTCCTATCTCCATGCAGGGCATGGTCACTGTAAGGTGACCACATTATCCTTCACGCAATTAGTGCCCTCATGACTATGGGAATGGCCCCCTGGCAAGAAGAGAAAAAGAAATTGTTTCCTCATGACACAAATTCTTCCTCTGCTCTCCCCACAGGAGTGGATTATCTATACACTCTGTTAGAGATCCGCACCTCCACACGGTAAGGCCACTTCTCCACTCCTTATCAAGTTTCCTGAGCCCCATAAAAGAAATCAGTCCCACTGAGTGAAGTGCACTGACCAGGAAACTAAAACTTCCTTCTTTTCTTGACACCTATTGTACCACTTTCAATAAATCAAGAACACTGAGGACAGAGCTCATGTTTGATTCAAGTATTGCTATTATAATTTGTCCAATAAATATTTATTGAAATCACATGCCTTTTTTTCCCCAGATATTTTGAAAAGGGGTCTCACTATGTACTTGAGGCTGGCCTTGAACTCGAGGCAATCTGCCTGCCTCAGCTTCCCAAGCACTGCGATTACAGGTGTGCACCACACCTGCCTAGCATTTTTTATAAATTCCCAAGTGGGATCATATTGCATAGGGGTTTTTTTTTTGCTTTTTGAAGTACTAGGGACTGAACCCAGGGCCTTCCCATTAAGCTATCTTTCCAGTCCCTTTTAATTTAATTTAATTAGGGTTTTTTTTGTTTTGTTTTTTGTTTTTTTTTAGACAGGGCCTTGGTAAATTGCCCAGGCTGGAACTGAATTATGGACCATCCTGCTTTAGTTTTCAAAACTGCTGGGATTACTGGTGTGCACTAACACAGAGCTACCACTTAGTGTTTTTGGTGAGTGCCTTTCTTCTCCATTTAACATACTGAGAATATTTCCCCATATTACTAAATTGCTCTGCAAGCCAGGCACAGTGGCACATGCCCATAATCCCAGTATTCTGGGATGCTAAGGCAGAAGGATCACAAGTTTGATTGTATGTTCACCAAGGCCTGTGATGTTCCAAGCCTCAACTAAGACACCAGAGGAAAAGCAGGGAACAAAACAAGTTTCTGTCCTCAAATAGTTTACATTTTGGTGGGGTGGGCAATGACAATACAGTTAATATTTCAGCTGGTAATGGTATGAAGTAAAATAAAGCAGGCAAGAAGGCAGAGAGTGAAACAGGACATTATTATTCTATAAGGTGCTTTATTTTACAACTAATCTTCTATTAAAAGACATTTAGATTATTTCTAACATTTCCCTAATAAATATTATACTGACAAAAATTCTTTTATATCTATTTGAACCCAGATTTCCTAAGATTACACATCTAGAAACAAAGATAACAGTAAACATGAGTATGATACAGTATGTACATGTGCCAGCTCCCCATAAGGAACATATTATGTAGTGCAAACATGAAATTTTTAAAAAGGAAGAATGTATGTGTACTTTTAAAGGGCGATCTTGTTAAACTGCCCTCCAAGCTGGGCATGGTGACACATGCCTGTAATCTTAGTGGCAGAGCACTTGCCTAACAAACGTGAAACCCTACATTCACTCTCCAGTACTGCAAAAAAAAAAAAAAAAAATCAACCCAAACTACCCTCTAGCAAGACTAGCAATTTATACTGCCATGACCACCAACACAAAACGGTAACCCTATCCAAAACGGTTACTTCTTAGCCAGGTGTGGTGTCGCACGCCTGTAATCCCAGTACTCTAGAGGCTTGAGGTAGGAGGATTGCTACGAACTCGAGTCTAGCTTGGGCTTCGTAGTGAGTTCAAAGCCAGCTTGCACTACAAAGAGAGACCCTGTCTCCAAAAAAGGGGGGGTATTTCTTAAAGTAAAAGAAAAATGAATTTAACACAGGAAAACAATATATTTTGACTAGTTATGACATTTTTGAAATCAACGTTTGTTATTTATGAGTAGTTTTTCCAGTTTATCATCATCTCTTTTTTTGTTTCTGGTGTCTTGAGCTGTTACAAATTCAAATATGTTAATGTGCCTTCTTCCAGTTTCCTTCCCTCACTTTCATATGGTTAGGACATCGACTAGGAATGTTCATGTTCTTCTGATTTCCATTTAAAGTCATCGCAATGTCTCTTTGGAATATGACGTGTCAAAAATAAAATTTTCACCCATGAATTCAGCCAGTAGATTGTTTTCAGAACACTGAACAAATAAGCAGGTATATCCTATAACCTTCTTCCAATACTTTGAAAAATGTCAAAATGGAAAAATCCAATTCTGACTCCATGAAATTTTAAAGAATTCTTACCTCGACCTAAAACACAAATAGCCATCAAGTTGGATGAATAGTAAGTAGAATGGAATTTCAGTAGCTCTTGTCTTACATCAATGCCTTCTTTGTTGGGCCGAGTCTCTAGAGTGTATTTGTTACCTGAAAGTAAGAGGAAACATTTCTTAGGCAAAGCAAAATTTGTGGACTTTAAAGCATTATTACTGACATACTATAAGATGAACAAAAAAACAGATTTCTAATATATACAGTGGTCAAATATGTTCCAATGTCAGGTACACAAACAGGATCATATAGCATAAAGTAGTACTGTAATATCTTTTTTTGAGGGGGACAGGGTCTTGTTATGTCATTCTGGCAGGCTGGCCTCAAACTCATGTAAACCTCCTGCCTCAGCCTCTCAAGTGTTGGGATTACAGGTGTGTGCCACCACACCCAGCTTTAGTACTGTAATATCTTAAACTACATTTTTCCCCAAGGAACTAAAAGTTTGTTATAAAAGTTACAGTCCTTAAGATCTCTGTGAGTATTAAGTACAGTTTTAAGAAAAAAATGAGATCCATATGGTCTCCATTCACTTAACTTCAATTCCCTATGTGTCCTGTAATTAATTGAACAGAGTCACTAAGGGATCTTTTTATAACTTGCCAAGTTACTTGTAGAAAGAAAAGAAAAAAACTTACTATTTTGACCTGAAGCATTATAGTTGTGACATGAATTTTCATGAATCTGATCTAGACTGGTACAAACAGGATGCAATGCTATTTTTTATAAATCTCAAGTGATGTGTATAGTATAACTCTATGAGCTCTCTTACGAAATTTTAGTAAATAATTAGGACAAAATATACAGTCAAAAATTAACAGTGCATCTCTGTAAATACTACCTTTCTAAGAAAGACTTTGCCAATTTGGGACTAGGAGGTGAGAAATTCCAACGATTGGTATCTCTCCAAAATAGCATCTTGACTGGAAATATCCTAACATGGTAGCTCTTACTAATGTTCCTGCTTGCACTACAAAATAGGATCCTGTCTCTTTCCTACAGATATGAAACTAGTAGAAGATATTCTTGGTGTTTTGTCTTGCTCTGTTGCTATAACAGCTGATGAACTGATACTGGTAGAATATCCCTCTTTCACCAACTTGGATGTCTACACAAAGATACCAGACTGCATTCTCAAATCCAGTCATCAGTTCATTTACTGTTACCCAGAACTCAGTCAGGATTCATGCCCCAGGATGTTTGATTCATGCCCCAGGTGAAGAAAGAATGTCCACCAAACAGCCTAGCAAGTGGTCATTGCATTTCTCCAGTCACAAAGAAATCATATGTACACACACTCACTAGAAGCTGCCTACCACGCAAGTTCCCAGATTGTAAATTACTGCTGTCCTCTCTCACTAAAGATCTTCTTCAACTCCAGTCTGCTCTTTCAGGATCCTAAGACAACCTCTATCTGATGGGTTCAGGTGCTCTTAAAAACATCAAGTATCCTAAAGAAGACTGACTTTCTCTGTCCCTCAAAGACATCCCGTTTACTCTGAGACTCTGAACCACAGGCATACCTTGAATAGAGAGGTTCCTTCTCCCCGTCCCCTGTTTGGAGCCAAAAGCTTAGAAACTATGTATATTCGTTATTTATGCAAACAAACAAATATACCTATATATACATCTTAAGTGTCCACTCCTCAGGGGGCAGGAAAAGGCCATTTGCTGGTGAAAGGTTTGAAGTTGTCTCATATCAAGATGAAATATGAGTACTGATGTGTCTCCCTCCTTCCACTGAATGAAGATTTGAAAAGACTCAGTTCCAGGGGGACTTATCCATAGAGGCTCCTTAGTCCTTTACACTACCAAGCTCAGATCCCTACAATAAGCAGACTAAGACTGATATTGTGGCACCCAATTTTGGAGAATTAAGTTTCAAAAGACTATGTGAATACAAAAATATGCTATAGTGTTAGATCAAAGTAAGCTATCTGGTCTAAATGTGATTTGATTTGCCTATTTACAATCACATCAATATCTTGATTTCAAAAAATTAAAAATTTTAAATAAAAGTTTGTAAAAACCAAGATTACAGCTTCCATTTAGAACACAAAAATTTGTGAAACTGACCAATTCTAGTTCACTATGCTTTGATTTTTATGTTTCTGAGTATTTTAACACTGCAATTTCTACCTTTTAATTTTAGATCCATTTTAAAACAGAAAATAAAGCAGGAACATACCCCAGACATACTAAGACATTGCTCACTTGCAAAGCATTGACAGTTCTATATTAAAATAAGCCAAACAGGACGGGGAGGGATGTGGCTCTAGCGTGTGTGAGGCCTGGGGAAGGAAGGGAGCCAAGGGACCACTGTAAAGTAACACAGGAAGGAAAATGATTCATCTTTAGTAATTCATATGTATTTAGGAATCTGTCCATTTTTTCTGTTTTCCATCTTATTACAGTAAGGCAGATACTGATGATCTTCAGGAGTTCCTCAGGATCTGTCGTAATTTCATCCTTTTCATTCCTAACGGAATGATTTTGAGTCTTTTCTTTCCTTTTTTTGGTAAGGTTGGCTGAGGGTTTATCGATTTTATTGACTCTTTGAAAGAACTAACTCTTCAATACATTGATTCTTTGTATTACTTTCTTAGTCTCCATTGCATTAATTTTTGCTCTTAACTTTGTAACTTCCTCCCTCATACAAGTTTTGGGCTAGACTTGTTCTTCTTTTTCTTGAGGTTTAAGGTTCAACATTAGGTTGTTCATTTAAACTGTTCTGGTTTTTGATGTGAGAATTCACCACTATAAATTTCCCTCTTTGGACTTCTTTCATTGGGTCCTGTAAGTTCCAGTATATTGTATCAGTATTATCATTTAATTAAAGAAACTGTCTAATATCTACTTGACTTTCATCTGTGGCCTATGGTTGTTCAGGAGGGAGAGTGTTAACTTCCATGTGTTAATGGAGTTTTTGTGGTATCTTTTGCTACCGAGTTCCAATTTCATTGCACTGTGTTCTGATACCATGCATGGGATAATTGCAATTTCTTTGCATTTACTTAAGCATGTTTTGTGAGCTGGTATGTGGTCTATTTTTGAGAACATCCTGTATGCATCTGAGAAGAATGTGTGTTCTGATGTGGCGTGGAACACTCTGTAGACACCTAATAAGTCCATTTGCTCAAAAGTTTGGTTCAGTGCTGATATTTCTTTGTTGCGTTTTTGTCTAGTTGATCTATTTGTGACAGTGGGGTATTGAGGACCCCCATTACAATTATATTAGTGCTTACTGATTTTTGTATGTCTGTTAATATTTGTTTTATATAGTTTGGTGTGCTGGTATTTGGTGTATATGCATTTATGACTATTATCTCTTCCTCTTGGATTGTTCCTTTATTAAGTATACAGTAACCTTCTTGGTCTCTCTTGATCAGCCTTGCCTTAAAATTCACTTTGTCTGCAAATAGAACCACTGCCCCTGATTTGTTCTGGGTTCCTGTTGCATGGAGTATTGTTTTCCACCCTTTGACTTCCAGTCTATGAATTTATTTTTGAATTATATATGTTTCTTGTATGCAGTATATTGTTGGATCATGCTTCTTGATACATTCTGCCAGTCTATTTCACTTGATTGGTGAATTAAGACCATTAACATTGATGGTTGTAACTGATATGTACTGACCTATCCTTATCATATTATTTTACTGTTGTCAGTTCCCTGTCTTTCCCCTGTTTAACTGTTTATCTGGCTTGGTGGATTGATTCTGTTTGGGTTCATGGAATTGTAGTGTCTGTTGTTATCTCTTTCTAAAATATCCTTCAGAACATTGTGGAGTGTTGGTTTGGTAGCATGAATTTTTTCAGTTGTTCTGTCATGGAAGTATCTTACTTCTCCATTCACTTTGAAAGACAGTTTTGCAGGGTACACCAATCTGGTTGGAGGTTGTTTTCTTTCAGGACCTAAAATGCTTGACTCCAAACTCTCCTTGACTTTATGGGTTTGTGTGGAGAAGTCAGCTGTGATTCTGATAAGCTTTCCTTTAGATTTCTTTTCTCTAATAGCTTTTCACATTCTGTTCTTGTGTGGAATTTCTGGACTCTTGACTGTTGTGTGTCCTAGTATAGATTTTTCTGATCATGGCTAATTGGAATTCTATATGCCTCACTTACTATATGTCAAATTTCGTTTCCACGCTTGGGTCATTTTCTACCATTACTTCTGTGAATAGGTGTTTTTTTTATGTCCTTTTCACTATCTCTTGATTTTTCATTGATTCCCATTGTAGTGGACTGACAACTGGTGGTCAACTTATAACAACCACCTGAACTGAGTAAGCATGGTGCTGGGTGTGGGAGGCCCACCTGAGGACTGTTGCCAGGAGCATAAGAGGCAGAACTGGAGAAGAAAAGGCTGTTGGGAGCTGAGAAAGGCTGTTGGGAGCTGGTAGAAGCTGTAAGGAGCTGTTGATTTTCTTGGAGGAGCTTGCCATGATGGCTTTCTTGATTAATTTGGCTGTTTTCATCCTCCGAGGAGTTCGGGGCCTTGTTGGCACTGAGAATGGTTTCAGTTCACTTTGGAGGAGTTCTGGCCCTCACTCTGAGCATCACTTCCTGGTTCTGGAGGGGAAGAAGGTGCACAGTCCAGTCTCCTGAAGAACCTTGTTGCATTGGCTTTCCTGATGAGAACTTAGCTTTCCTCATCATTGGAGGAGGTCGGGACCTCACTGTTGCTGAGAATGCCTGTGGTACCTTTTTGGGGAGCTCTGGTTCTTAATTTGCGCGTTGTTTCCTGGCTCCAGTGCAGATCCCTCAGCCTGCTAGCACAGATCCTTTATTCTGCTTGCACAAACTTACTAGATTCCACCACTGACCTTTGGGCCTTCCCAGTGCCTGAAACGGGCCTGCATGAGATATTATTATGGGCTCTAGGCCTCCAGTTGGACTCGTGGAAGGCATTGTTATGAGCTCTAGGTCTTCAGCTGGACTCATGTAGGACATTATCATGGGATCCAGGTCCTCAGCTGGATTCCTTGGTCTTAGTGTGTGGACATATTTCCTGCACTCCCTTGTATATCATTCTTTGGGTGACTATTATAAATAATCTTATAAACTATGTGTCCTGTATTATATTGTTTCCCCTT